TCTGAGCTCTGAGTCTAGCCATGCTACTTCCACATCTTCACCCATCAGTGCTGGTAATACTACTTCACCTGTCTGCCTTTCAACACTGTTGTGAGGTCCAAATGGTATCCTGCATGCACCCTAAATTCAGATCCCCTCCACCTGAGACTATAAAAATGAGATCAAGTCTCTTCATGCCAGAATTACCTGGTTGGAGCACCTGGACCTTCCACTGCTAGACGGATAACTCCACCCCTCACTGGGGACATTTCCCAGGATGCTTATCCTGCCTGTTCAGGAAATGAATCTCAGGTGTACTCACTTCCTCCTCTGCCTTTCTCATCAGGCCTGGCTTCAAATCCTAGTTCTACATTCCTTTGCAAACATGAAGAAGCCACTGAGTGTCTTCTGTCTCAGGCTCCCCATGTCTATCTAAGTCACAGACAGTGACAGTGACTCCAAGAGTCGAATGACTTCAGCTCAGTTTACCGTTTCACCTTCTAGGTCTAATGTACCTTAAACAACCAGTTTTTCAAGACCTTTAAATAATGTTGGATCTCATTTGTTGACTTGATCAAACATTTTCAAATATATTAATATTTGTTATAAAGTTAGTACACATCTATTGCCTGTCTGCCAGATCTTCTCAAGTCTGTCAGTAATCTAATTAGGCCAGGCATGGTGGCTCACACCTTTAATCCCAGCTCTTGGGACGCAGAGGCAGGCGATCTCTGAGTTCAAGACCAGCCTGGTATACAAAGTGAATTCGAGGCCAGCTGGGGCTATAGGGATACCCTGTCTCAAAAGAAAACCAAAAATAAAATCTAATAATTAATCAAATAAACATAGTAAATCTCATTTTATTCTCTTATCAGTTTAGCTGGATTTCAATTTAAATCATTTTCATTATCTCTTTGTCTAATATTTTTAATTCTTTGAGAATTTTATACAATGTATTTTGATCATATTTACCCTCAACTCCTTAACCCCTCCCAGTTCCACCCTCAATTCCCTACTCCCCCAACTTTGTGTCCTTTTTTTAAGTTTAAAAATTTTTAAATGTACTTATTTTTATTTTATGTGTATGAGTGTTTTGCCTGAATGTTTGTAAGTGTACCCATGTCATACAATGCCCATGGAGGCCAGAGAAGGACACTGGATCCCCTGGAACTGGAGTTACAGATGGCTGTCAGCCACCATGTGGATGCTGGGAACAGAACCTGGGTGCTCTGCAAGAGCAGCCAGTGCTCTCTTAACCCCCAAGCCATCTCTCCAGCCCCTACCCTTTTTTTTTCAATTTAATAACTCAGTAAACCCAATTTCTGGTGTCCAGATACTTCTGGTGTGGGGCCATCCACTGGAGCATGGTCAACCTACCAGGACCATGCTCTTAAAACTGACTATCTCTCCTCTAGAAGCCATCAACTGTCCATTAGCCCCCCCCAGTTGGGGGTGGGGGCTCATGAACCCCTTCCCTCTCCATACTAGAATGTTGATTGGCTTGATCTTGTACAGGTCTTGTTCAAACAACCACAGCTGCTATGACATGAGTAGTGGTCCTGTCATGTCCAAAAGACACTGTTTTATTCCAGTCTTCCCTGATCTCTGGCTCTTACAGTCTTCATGCCTCTTCTTCCACAACAGTCCCTGAGCTTGGGAGGGGCGTGATAGGGATGTCCCATTTGTGGCTGAGTGCTCTGTAATCATTATTCTCTGTACTGTGTCTAGTGAGTTTCTGTGTTAACTGCCATCCACTGCACAAAGAAAATATTCTGAGAGCTGCACTAACCTGTGGGCAGAGAGATGAATGTAGAAGGCAGTTTGATACTATGTCCATTCAGCAAAATAATACTAGTGGGTTCACCCTTCTGGCCCACAAGCTCCCCAACCATACATTCTTGGCCAGGTTTGCAATACCAAGCATGTATATGTTCCATGTATATGTTCCCTGTGGAGCCAGCCTTAACGCCAAGCAGAAAGCAGTTGGTTACCCCCTTAACAAGTTGTGCCCCTTGGGCATATCTTGCCACATTGGTCATTATTGTAGCTCACAGGGTTCACAGCTGAGTAAGACTTGCTGACTTTTACCCCCAGCACAGCATCTTCTAGCACTATGAGAGCTAGCCAGCAGGGAGGAGGCTTCTTAGTCAGTACCAACTTGGGAGCTCCATGTTCTATGAGCAAAGTATGTGGTATCTTCAGCCATACTGTCTTACCATCAAGTTCCAGTGGGCAAACAAAGCAGTGGCAATAGCCCACATTGCTTGCATTGTTTAGGGGTCTCTGGGACACTTCTGACCAACAACTCGAGGAAAAGTATCCCATACCTGGTACTGGGTTTTTTATTTGGCAACCTATGTATGGCTTCTAGGAACATAATCCCCTGTGTAGAACAACTCCAATTAAACTCTTTTATATGAATATAAACATATGTATTAAGCTTATAAACCAGTTGGTTTTCATATGGCTTTTTCGAATATCCTTAATGTTAGTTATGTCTCCCCTAACCCCTTCCTCTAATCTATTCTTCCATTCCTCTTCCCACTTAAACCTCCCTCCCCACTTTTTCAATAGAGTCACAAGTTTGACCTCTCAAATTTAAGAAGCCAAAATCTCTTGAATATCACAAATATTTATGGGCTGGGAAGTTGGCTCAGTTGCTGTGCAAACATAAGGATCTAAGTTCAGATCCCCAGAACCCACATAAAACCCAGGCATGGTGGCACCCCTCTGTAGGCTAGGAGGAGGAGATAGTCATGTCCTGAGGACTCTCTGGCCAGCCAGTCTAGCCAAAACAGTGACCTCCAGGCTCAGTAAGAGCTCTTGTCTCAAATAAAAAACAAGTTTGAGATATAACTGAGGAAGATATCTTAACATCCACTTCTGCCTCCACACATGACCACACAGGCAAATGCACCTGGCACACATGTGCACACACAAATACACACATATTTTAGATGCTAACATTCATTAACACAAAATCTTTTCTGTATTTTAATTCGGTTCAACCTGTTTACATCTGATTCTTAAGTCTTCACAGAGGTGAAAATGCTTTACTTGAATTATTTCTGGTTAGGAACATTGATAGATACCCTAAACTCTGCTTATAGTTGCAAATGTAAGAATAGCTCCATAATTCTGTGCAGAGTGGCTACATCACCCACATCCCTGAATTCCAGCTACATAATCTCTAATACCTAAAGATTGAGGTTTATATCTCTTTAGCTGTTAAAATATGTCTGTTTTCCAAAGTACCTCTAAACCAGCTGGAATTCTGCATTCCCTTACAGCCTTCTTATCTCTTTGGATCATGACTATTCAAATGACATTGGACTGAATTCTGGCCTTGGCACTTGAGTTGCACTGTTTGATCATGTCATCCAATGTTGTTCTACTGACACAAAATGGAGATAATTCAAGTGCTAATTCATTGGCAAGTGACTATGTACCATCTGCTTCGTGTAGGAAAACTGCACAAGTGGAAAGAAGGGTATCCCACTGGAAACATCCAACATGTTTCCAGAGCAGCAGGTGGAGTTTCTGTAGACGGGGAAAAGTGAGCAAATGTCTATTCACCTCAGACAGGGAGCTGGCAAAAGACACAAGAAATAATTCCTCCCAAATCTACTGTAGTAAGCTAGTGAGATTATTGGTGTTACTAACAGGAGCGTGGGTAACAAGTTAGGAAAGCCGCATCCCTGGTGTTCCCTGTACTTCAGGCAGCTGGGCTCAGCAGCATCTCTTCTGCCTAGCAGTTGTTAATTATACAAGCTTGGGCTTGTGAGGCTTCTGAGTTTCAGGAGCATCCTGAGACTTGTGACTTGTATTTACTTCTGAGTTTTTTTTTTCTTCCTTAGTATTAAGGAACCTCTCTCTAGAAGGGAAAATTCAATTTGGAAGAAACAGCCACACAAGAGGAATACATTCAACAAACATCCTACATGTTTACTAACATCCCCTTGGTTGTTTATAAACAGGCTGTGATTATCCCCACCATGTATCTTTGTTCAAAACACTGGAAACTGGTCTACGAGACTTAACTTGGAAGATCTCATAGTCAATATAACAGACCTTTCAAATTCTGAAATTACTTAAAGCCACTTTAGATGGCTACTAAGAAACCAAACTCTAAAGTCAAATCCAAAGCATGATGACCAAACCAAGTAAGGAAATACATTTCCTCAGGTGAACTGTAAGGGCTTAAGAAGTCTCATTAGTGGTGGCTACTTTGAAGGACAGATTCATTTTAGTGACTGAAGAGAGACCTGGAGTGTTGGATAAAAAAGTCAGTCCCTACTAGCAGAGAGAGTACCAGAGAGGGAGCTCAAAAGAGTGGAGCTGTTTCCTGCTCACTCCCTTTCTGGCCTGTCAGCTCCCTGGGCCCTGGTTCCTCACTTTTGGAAGAATTCCAGAAGTTCCTCCAGCCCTAGGACTTCTGGTTCCATGTAACGCCACTGTCATCCAGCCATGTGCACACACTGGTCCTGGAATTGCCCACTGAGTGTGTGACCAGAAAGCCCTGCAGTGAGCAGAGGAATGCAACACGCAGTTGGGAATGCTGTAAGCTGCTTGAGCACGCCGTCTGTTCTCTCACTCACTCCTGGTTTATGTCTATCTTAGGCAGACACATTCAGGTGACAGCATTCTGGAGACAAGCCTTAAGAAAGTTTGTTTTTTGGTATTTTTGAGGCAGGGTCTCCCTGTAGTCCCAGCTGGCCTGGAACTTGCTATGTAGACCAGGCTGGACTCGAACTCAGAGATCCGCCTGCCTCTGCCTCCTGAGTGCTGGGATTAAAGGTGTGTGCCACCACACCCAGCTAAGAAAGCTTTAAAAAGACCTATTTTAATAAACATCTAAGTCATTCGACAGTTTTCTCATCTGTAAAGTGAACTCCATGCATCTGAGGTCCTCTGTATTATAGCTGTGCATTCTGAGAAGCTGTTCACCTCCTGTGGGGCCCAGACAGGGAACTCCCAGATTAAACAGTCTACGCCTCATTCTTCACCTGATTCCTTTGCAGTCCTACACAGAGCAATGATGACTTAGTGATGGAGATTCTGTCTGACATGATGGTTCGGCTGCCCTTAACAGTGGAAAAAGAAGACGTTGCTGGGTCTGGAAGTCAATGCACGTTAAAATTTTTTATGTCAAGCTCTACCTGGGAGAAGCTCTATAAAAACGTTGAAGGTAAGCACAGGCCCTGGCTTTTCCCCTTGCCACAGCTTCGTCAACAAAGGATTCTGGCTCCAGAAAGGAGATAGAGGCACCAGAGCATGAAATGGCCAACCCCCACCCAGCCGCCACAGAAGATGGCAGGAGAGAGGAAAATGGTGATGTAGTATGAGGGAGGAGGGAGCTCAGGCACCAAGATCAAAACTGAAAGAACAGCAATCACAGTAGAGAGTGCAGACACTAGGGAATCTGAGCCCTGCTCTCCTGTCCTCTGGTCTCTGGAATGATGTTTATAACAGTAAGATTTAGAAAAGGGAACACTTAGGTGAAGTCAGGCCCAGGGCTGCCTGGCCCAGCTATGAGAAGCTAAATGCCCAAATTGGGGGAATTTTCCAAGTGAAATTTTAACATCCATAATCTAACTCTTTTTTAATATTTTATTATTTGTATAAGTGTATTGTCTGCATGTATGTAAGTTCACCCATGTCTTGCAATGCTTGAGGAGGTCAGAAGAGGGCATCAGATCCCCTGGAACTGGACTTATGGACAGTTGTTAGCCACCATAGGGTGCTAGGATTAGAACCCAGGTCCTCTGCAAGAGCAGTCAGTGCTCTTAACCACTGAGCCATCTCTCCAGCCCCAAACTAACTCTTCTTAAAAATTCATTTTGGAGCCAAATGTTGAGCAACAGTTTACCAAAATGCATAGTGATGTTTCAGTCGACAGAGGACCCACTCAAGAGTGGTCCCATGAGATAGGATCACTTAGTGATGACAGGATGTCTTAGTTTGAGCAAGTGCAGTGATGTTAGCACAGGGAGGAAATCTAAGGATGCATCTCTCAGACCTGGCCTTCAGGCTAAAGGCAGCCTTTTTTTTTTTTTACTGAGCCTGCAAGCAAAAAAAGTTTATTTAAGACAGGTATTACTGTGTAGCTCTGGCTGGGCTGGAACTCACTAAGTAGACCAGGCTGGCCTCTGCCTCAGAAGTGCTGGCATCAAATGCATGTGCCACCACACCTGTGCTGTTTTTAACTTTCTTTTTTTAAATGGTTGAAAAAGGAATGTACTTTGTGACACATAACCATTACATGAAGTTCAAACCTGGGAATGCAGGTAAGGCTTTCTCCTATAGCTGGTGCTTTTTCATTTGCATATTAGGTGTGGCTACATCGTACTATGAGAAAAGAATTGATCATAACAGACAGTATGGTTGGCCCATAAAATACTCTCCAGAAAATGTTTACCAACCTCTGGTCAAGACACATGAAATTCCTCCAACTCTGGAGTCTGTGTCCCACCATGCAGACCTTCTTACCCTATAAGAAAGTTTCCTTCTCTGTTTTAAATTCAGGTTGGGATCCCCTTATCCACTGTGCCTTGATAACCTTTCTGAACCAAGAAATAAAGCGTTTTGACAAGCTATTATTTGTCATACATAAATCTTTACAAGATCTTCAACTTGCTCTAAAAGGAGAGAGCATCCTCACTCAGGAGCTGGAGGAGATCTACGACTCTTTCCTTAGTGCACAAGTGCCAGCACTGTGGCAGGTAAGCAAGCACTACTTCGTTTACTTGCCCGAAAGAAATGTCCAGGTTCCACTGACCACTTTCACTAAAGCACATCAACATGAGGAAATACTTAGTAACCGTTGTGCTGATCTCTTTGGTACAAGTATGTATTAATACAACCAATCAGGTGGCAATCTGGCAGTTCTACTTAAATTTATCTTAGATATTTATCCCAGAGCTGTAACAGAATAAATCTGAAAACAATTTAGATATTTATGATTAGTAATCTAGTTATATAAACTACAGTACAGCCACATCATCAATGAGGTATATACAGATATGGAAAGACCCCCTCCAGGTCTTGTTAAAAGTTCTAGAAGCTTGTTAAAGCTTGAGAATACTATAGAGATCTATATTTTGCTTATAAAAGTACACTAGGGGCTGAAGACACAGCACAGTTAAGAGTACTGGCTACTCTTGCAGAGGACCCCGGTTTGGTTCCTAGCACCTACTTGGTGGCTAAAGACAGGTTCCAGGGGACCTGATGCCCTCTTCTGACCTCTGTGAGCACTGCATACAGGTGGTACACATATAGACAAGCAGGCGCACACACAAAAAATTAAAAATAGACAAATAATTCCATAAGCGTTTTACAGTTTTGGAAGGAAAAGCAAAAATATTAACAGGTCTGTGTGTTGAGGTTTTGATTTTAGATTTTCTATCTTGTGTCTCTCAGGCTACTGTTCTGTTTTATCATATTCATGTTCCATTAGCATAAAATTTTAAATGTGCTGGGTGAGGTAGTGCACACCTTTAATCCCAGCACTCTGGAAAGATTTTTCTAAAAAATTTTAACTGTAAGCTATACAGTAGGGAACAGGAAAGTACTACAAATGACTTAGCCAATTTAATGAGAATCAAATGTCAGGAAAATAATATAACAAAACGTAAAATTCAGCAAGAAGTGTTTTTGTGTTTTTGTTTTTCTTTTTGAGACAGGGTCTCCTGTAGCCCAGCTGGCCTGGAACTCCCTAGCTATGTAGACCAGGCCTGCCTCTGTCTCCCAAGTGCTGGTATGCACCACCACACCTGACTCTTTCAGTGGCACGTTTTGTCAGGCTTGTCTGTAGTGTCTGTCATAGCAGCACAAAATGGACTAAGACACCTACAAGGAACAAAGTGCTGACACATGCAACATGGGTGACCCAGAAAAACAGGTAATCACAGGGCTGGAGAGATGGCTCAGCGGTTAAGAGCAATGGCTGCTCTGGCAGCAGACCTGGGTTCAATTCCCAACCTACATAGCAGCTAACAACCATAACTTAAGTTCCAGTGGATCTGTGCTGGATAGCTTTAATGTCAACTTGACACATCTGAGTTGAGGGAGCCTCAACTGGGGAATTGCCTCCAGAGGACTGGCCTATGGCCATGTCTGTGGGGCATCTTCTTGATTGTTGAGTGCTGTGGGAGAGCCCAGCCCACTGTGGGTGGTGCCACCCCTGGGCAGGTGGGCCTGTGTTGCATAAGAAAGCAGGCTGAGGCCAGGCACGGTGGCACATGCCTTTAAACCCAGTGAATTGCTTCTCAATGATTTTTAAAATACACCTATGGGGCTCAGCAGTTAAGAGCACTCACTGCTCTGATGCCCTCTTCTGGCCTTCACAGGCATTACATGACATGGAAATACATCAATGCAGGCAAAACACTCCTACACAAAAAGTATTTATTTTTTTTCAATTTGTAATAAAAAAATGAACTCCACCTGTGTAGAAAACATGGAGAAAGGTTAAAGGCATCAATGACAACTATAATTTTTTTAAAAATTGGATCCAAACTAGTGAAAAAATTGAAACGTCATCTGCAGACTTCACATGCAGCATCACAGAACTTCAGAGCAGAACAAGATTTCTGGGTTCCTGTGCTCAGTGACCTTAAACCCTCCCAGTCCATAGCCACCCACTGAGGAGCTTTGTAGACTGGCCTAGGAGCCAGCTAGGGAAAAAGGGCTGGGCTCCTGGTGCTGCTGGGTTAGGAGGCTATGACACAGCTGCTGCATGTCTGACTGTGACAGATCTGAGTTTAGCCAGGTTCAAACATCCAGCTAGGTCAAATGGCACCGTGCAGAGCCCAGGCGGGCATAAAGACAGATGTCCTCAGGTATCAAAGTGTGCAGAGCTAGAAGGACTTTAAAGTGAGGCTCCTGACCAGCACCTGGGTAAGAGCACAGGCTGCCAAGCGAGAAAGCTGGGGGCCCTCACAGCGCCCAAAGGTGGGGTGGGGCCGTGAGCATGTCAGAATAAGGCCAGATTTAGAAGTGAGGACAGAAAAGAAAAGGCCATAAATTCCTCATCAAGAAGCCTTCCCCTCTACCCCTTGGCTTGTTAATGAACAGGGACAGAGTAGACAGTGGTGGCTGCAGGTGAGAGAAGCACCCAGAAGCCCAAAGGCAGGGCCAGCTCTGCTGGCTAGAAGGAAAAGGACTGGCCAGTGGGAACGTCTAGGAACTTGTACCAGGAAGGGATTGGAACCCAGGGGTCTGTGAAGACAGTCTGCAGAAAGGAAAAGGAGGTGAGGTGTGATGGGCTTGGAGAAGTCATGAAAGGCAGTGGTCAGGATGGACACTTCTGGGTAAGATGTTATCTTGTCTTTGAAATGATTTTCAGACTTCTCATTGTGTGCTTTCAGTTGGAAAATGGCCTCTCCTGCCAAGATATTTCTCCAAGTCTATTGTCAGATTTTGTAGAAATGTGCTTAATAACCTCTAGACTAATCTACAGAAACAATGTACCTCTCTCTGAATCCCACAGAAGCACGCCTACAGGTCCTGCAAGCCCCTGAGCTTCTGGGTCAGCAATCTCATCCAGCGGGTGAATTTCTTCAACACCTGGGCCAAAGTGGCTTACAAGGCAATATATCATCGGTACGAGCAAGCACTGTTCTATCCTTCCCTGATTCTGCTCAGAGCTTAACATTTCCCTATTTTCATAATTTTGGCCTCTTGTTTTTTGTTTCCCTCAAATCTTCCATTTACAGTGAGAAACAGACCTCAAAGTTGGGTCCATCCAAGGTTTTTCCACCCTGAGAGCTGGAGATAACCTCTAGAACTTAAAATGGAATGTCTCTTTCCACCATAAGCTAGTTGTGTGTGTGGTGTGTGTGGGGGGGGGTGATGATATGTGGACTGTGAAAGTAGTTGCATTAATCTTTTTTAAATGTGATTTATGTTTTGGTCGGAGTAAAACCTGTGTGAAAAGCCTGTGCAGCACTGGTTAAGAGCTGCATAATGTGTTAGGCATCTTCTCCAAGGCAGAGCTTACCCTGACAGTTCTCAGGATGGACCTACAGTGGGAAGTGGTTACTGACACTATCGTCATCCTCTTTCAGAGGACAGTAAGCAAAGTACAGAAAGTGACTTGCCCAAGGTATAGCAACTAGAAGCATTGAGATTCAAACCAGAACCAGCCTGTGCCCAGAAGCCTCCTGTGCTGTGAAGCCTCCTGGGCTAAGAAGGCTCCTGGGCCATGAAGGCTCACGGGTACTGGCTATAGGAGAAGTCTGCAACTCAGAAACAAGTGATAAGATTCCTCAAGGTCCAGTCAGGCTTTTCCAAATCCATGGCTTCAAACCAAATCCCTGCTATTCTATCCTCAGTCACCCTGCTTTGCCACTGGCTTCCCACCAGGTACATGAAGTTTGTCACGACCTGGAAACAGTCTTCTACGTCACTGACCCAGAAATCCAGACATCAGACTACCTCAGAGAATGATTTGCCTGGAGGATTTCCTACAAGATACTGGCTCCCTGCTTTCTTCTTTCCACAAGGTGAGCACTAGCACCGAGCAGGCCCACATCTGGCTCTGGCACATTTGCACTGTCTCTCCAGCACCACTGTTGGAACCACAATCCCAGAAGACAGCACCTGCGGCCCTGTGGGGTCAGGGCCTGTTCTGCTCCACTACCTCCTTCCCTCACTCCTTTTCTACACCCCAGACCTCACCTGGCTTTGGCAGGCCACTTTTTCATCTCCAAGCCATTAGTCCTATGAGATCAAAGAGGCGATGCTGAGACCCCTTCCCTAAGGCCTACACGAGAGATGAGCACATAAACATAGGATCACACCCACACTTCACACACTATTCATTTTTAACAAGAATTGGTTGAGCCAGGTATGGTAGCACACACCTTTAATCCCAGCACTGGGAAGGCAGAGGCAGGCAGATCTCTGAGACAGAGTTCAGCCTGGTAAATACAGGGAGTCCTAAGACAGATGGGGCTAAAGGGAGACCCTGCCTCAAATAAAAAAGCACCCCACCTGCTCAGCAGCAAGAAAGACAAACTGTCAATATGGGGCCAACCCATGGATGCCCATGGAAGAGCTGCAGGAGACTGAGCTCCACAAGGGTGGGACCAGATAGTTTGTTTGTTGCTGCATCGCTAGTACCTAATGCATCCCCAGCTCTCAGTAGATATTTGAAGAATGGATGAATGACTTTCCAAATGAGTATCTGCATGAATCAGCACATTTGAAGCATAAAACAGGAAACCTTACCTAAGTACCAGGGAAAGCCACTAAGGAAAGGACTTCTGAGACTTAAAGCTTGCTAACAGTTAAGCATTATCCAAGACGGACCAAGGAAGAGAATATTATGCAGTACCTGCACAGCACTATGGGCTTCCTGGCACTGTGCTGTTCAGCAATTCTCATAGCACTCAAGGAAGTTGTTGCTATATATTCTGTAGTTCAGATAGGAAAAATGTGGCACAGAGAAGTTGAGATCTGCCCCAAGCCCTACAACTAGTAACTTGTAGGACTCTGGGGAAAAAAACCTAAGTACTAAGCTTCGTTCTGAATTTAACCTGTCTGACTTAAAAAGCCAAGTGTTTAAGCATGGACAGACAAAAGGCCCACAGAGGGAGAACATGGGGGTGGAAGCTGGACAGACAGCTGTGGGAAAGGCAGCAGGGAGTTGCTGCAGTGGCAAGAGAGGTGACAGGTAATGGCTGTGACAGGGAAGAAGGGCATTGGTAGGCTGGAAAGGCCCAAGGCTGGTATTGGACACAGAGAAATTTGTTTCTAGGCAAAAGTTGGCAGTGACCTGCATGCAACAGGGTTCTGGCCAGGGGGCAGGAGAGGAGTTGGACAGAGGGGCATTCAGGAGACAGAACCAGTTGGCCTCCATGTTTGAGATGATGTGATAAGAGCAGAGGCTCAGCAGGACGCAAGGCCTCTGGCATGGAAAGCTGGGTGGATGCTAACAATGGAATGAACAGGGAAGAGGCTAATGGATTGGTTGAAAGTGATAATCTGTCACATCATTTTTCTGTCCTCTGTATCCTTCCTCCATGCAATATGGGGCAAAATGGCCACAGGCAGGTTAGCAAGCCCAAAGGAAAGGGGATTTCCTCTTCCCTGCATGTCTACATGCCTGAGAAGGACTCAGGAACCCTGAGCTATGTACTCATTCAGAACCCATCCCTGCTACCAAGGGGGTGAGGTACGATGATCAGCCAGGATGGGATCGGAAAAGGCTCACATCCCAGGATTTGTAGCCCTACGCCCCAAAGGGCCTACAGACACAACTCATATGAACAGGTCTGATGGGTGTGGGCAGCTAGTCCCTGCTGTGCTCCAGCCTCACCCCAAGTTCTGTGGCACTATTCCAGGGGAGATGTGAACATTTAAATGTCTACTCCAGACAGAGAAATACAGACTGAAGTTAAGGATTCCACCAAAGTCCAACTTGGTGAACTAGCGAGTTTTGTTACTTACAGGAACAAAAATGACTCAAAGGTAGCTGCATCACCAAAAGCCCACCCAGCATGGGGTGACAGCTCACAAAAGCTGGAAACCTGGAGCTCACTGCAGCACTTGCAGGCAGCTTCAAGCAGTGTGGCTGGTGTCTGCCTCTTTCAGGCAGCTCAGTTTGTCCGAGTCTCTCAGCAGTCCTTATGGTTCATAAATGCTTAGGAGAGATGGGGCCTAGCAAATCTCACCAGTTTCAGGGACTTCCTAAAGCTTTTTTGCTTACTTCTGGAGGTTAGGGAGCTCCCCTGCAGGATGGAATGTTTCACCTTTAGAACATCCTGAACTAAAAAGCTTCCCTCCAAGACTGAGTTTTATTCTCAGAGGAAATTGCTACACAACACCCCATCACCCTTCCTTCCTGGCTCTTTTCTTCCATCTCCATGGGCAACCATGGTGCCCCCCACTCCCCACCCCCAGGAAGCCCAGGCTAACTAGAAACTTTGTTACTATGCTTTTACCCAAAGCCTTTCTTACTGCTGTACTTCAACACTATGGGAGGTCCCCGGGAATCTCCACGACAGCCTTACTTTTACTCACAAAGTGGTTCCTGGCACTGAAGATAAGAAAGAGGATGCACTCTCCATACTTCTCCCTAAGAGGCTCAACGTAGTCAAGAGAGCATTCCAGGTATGGGGATGCTGAGGAGACTGCAAAGGTGATGGCTCAGTCATTGGATCAGCCATTCCCTCAGCCACGTGCTCACACTGCCAGGCACTGAGTGGTGGATAAAGAAGTCCAAACACCACCCAATGTCCTACTTGTCTCAGAGCTCAGTCAGCTTACCAGGCTGACGCCCCAGCCAACACTCCAAAGACTCCAGGAGGACAGCCTGTACGATCAGCTCAACCAGCTAGGTGCCTACTAGACTCCAGCACTGCCTTCTGTCACCCCAAACGTTAAAAGCCACATTGCCTTTACCAAGTTCAGTGCCTTTTAAAAATCTCCTTTTTTCGCTCTGGAATCATTCACCAAGAACAAAACCATTCACTTTTAAATCTGTTAAGATTCTGAGAAGTTTCCAAATCGATTCTTTTTAATACTGTTTTTGCCACCTAGAAATATGGTCTCTCCATTTACTGAGGTCCTTTATGTCAGTAAGTTTTCTTCACATTGACACATTATATTTAGTACTTTCTTACAACTGTTGCTGTTGTGAGTGGGATTTTTAATTTGAGATTAAGGGCACAGTCCAAGAAAACTAACTGCCTACACTTCTGACACCAGCTGCAGGCCTGAGGGGTTCCCAGAGACAACTTCAGGCTAAATCATTTTCTAAAAAGGTTCACCTCAAGAAAGCGCTTCTTGGAGTTCTGAATCTTTCCTCCTCCCTAATCAGCCTTCTGGCTTTGTCACTGATGCATAGAATCCCTGGATGTGAGCCCTTCAGTGGACTATACTGCCATCTTCCCCAGCATGAGACACTCTTCACGGTGTCATTTGCTGAAGAAAAATTTTGTTGCCACGAAGTACATGTACTTTCGCCTTTTAGAGTGAGGTCCTTTTCTGTCCTAATTAAGAATCACTGTGTACTTCGGGCTGTGCCCTCTCCTGTGCTGTCTAAAAGGTGTGCTGTGCTGCTTTCCCACAGGGAGCATTGGCCGAGGTAGGATCCGTGCCTTTTCTGTCCATATGAGCACCCAACATAGCACGTTTCTTTTTCATTGAAATGTGCACGCCTGTCCACTTGAGCTTTGTCTGAAGGCTTGGGCCTGCTTCTGCAGCTTCTTAGCAGCTCTACTGACTGGCATGTCCATCTTTGTGCCAGCACCACACGTTTCAACAATTATAGCTTCACAGCAAGTCTCGATGTGGGGTATAGAATCCTCCAGCTTTGCTCTTCTTAAAGGTTGTCTTGATTCATGGGAAACTGGCATCGTGGCAGTATTGAGACCATCAGTGCCGGTTGCCTTAGACCCTTTTTATGTCTCCAGTTTTAAATTTAACTTAAACATCTACTTAGTTCATCAATTTCTTCCTAGAACAGTAATACACTTGTTTTTTTCCTGGAACTCAGGAGCCAGTATTCAGTATTATGAGGTGTTATGCTAGCTACAAATTTCTTAAAGTTCTGCTGGATGTAGTGGCACAGGCCTTTAATCCCAGCACTTAGGAAGCAGCCAGCCTTGTCTACATGGCGAGTTCCAGGTCAGCTGGGGCCATAGGGAGACCCTTGGCTGACACTTCAGCTGTCTGGTCATCTGGTCATCTGAAGGGCTGTCTGCTTATGGGGTGCTGTAGTGGAGTGCTGTCTGTTTCTTGAGTCTCTATTGTGCTGTGTGCATCTGTTGGTATGTGCATGTCCCCTTATTTGTAGCTTTTTCCTGCTGATTTCTGTTGTTGTTGTATAGTTGTATATGAGACTTCCTATGGGTTCTGTGCTTAGTTTATGTTCAGGGAGGAAGCTGACCAAAAAACAATAATGATAACTTGACAGAAGACCCAGCATTAGATGGAGACAATACTATGCTCTTGACTTGCGTCCCCTCTAAGGGACAGAGACAGAAGCACTAGGGTCCTGGTTGTGGAAAATACAGCATTTTTCAGATGTGAAGAGGGCATGAGGTCAGAGTAAGAGGAGGAAGGAACACTAAGAAGTGGCATGGGTTCGAGGCATAAAAAGCAGCAGGGAAATACTGCATATTGAGTTTTGACTAGGACAGACATAAGAGCAAAGTACCAGAGTGTACATAATCAGGTGCTCGATTATTTGCTTTACACCAGAGCCAACTTCGATTCAGGGTAAGATTATTTCCATTACTGTTAAGAGGCTCTCTGGAGAATTACATCATTCAAAAATGGGCTGTTTACAAATTACTTACAAACTTTGTTCTTCAGAGGAAAGACCTACGTATCTAACGGTCAAGGCAAGCCAGGTATGGTGGCACACACCTGTGACCCCAGTACTCAGAAGGCTGAGGCAGATGGATCAGGAGTTCAAGGACATCCTCAGTGACATACCAAGTTCAAGGCCAGTCTAGGCTACATGAGACCCTGTCTCAAAAAAATACCATGACCAAATCACAGACGTCTAAACAGAAGTCACATCACCAACACTAGAACAAGTGCGCTCTGAAACTTGCCATTACCTAAAGCATAAGGAGAAAAGAATAAAAGTTGCTAAATACAGTAATTCCCAGGAAGGCTTTTATAGAACAAGCCAAAATACAAGTGCTTTCTATGAATTCAGCTTGCACCTCTAAGCATGGCCACATTCCAGAAGAGACAGCCTAGAAATCTTGCCTACCCTGCAGCTCCGTTAAAAGGCTGGCCCAGGACAGCTGTGCCCACGCTGCCTCCTCAGAGACCCACCAGACCAGAGGAGAAGCAGTCTACTGCTGCTGGCAATTCTGTTTTCAGAAACTCAAACCCTTGTTTAAAGCTAGCAACTTATTTCACTTGTATCAAAGATAAATACAGAACGCTTCCAGCCTGTTTTCAATCTCCAGGTCCTTACTAGGCATCAGAACCCCATGGGAAAGGCAGGTGACTAATCGCTGACTCCTTTTGTGGATGCTCGTTTTTTTTTTTTACCCAGAGCCAAGGACTGAACCCAGGGCCTTGTGCTTGCTTGCTCTTGTTTCTTTTAAGAAACTCAGCTGCACGGTTGATTATAGAAATTTGGGGTCTGTTTGAAAATACTTGTCTCCTCAAAACCATTATTATACCATAACCTACAAAGCCTGAGGTAAAGATGAAGGCTTCACCTTAGCATTCAGAACAGGAACAGCATGAGACAGGGATGCCCCATGGTGGGAATGCGTCTCACTCAGCCTGAGGCTCAAAGCTTCTGACGGAAGCACCCTGACCTCTCCTCTCCCTCTCCCTCTCCCTAGTCTCTGCGCTCCGACCACACACAGAAAGGAGTTTACATTTTTGGTTTATTCATCGAGGGGGCACGGTGGGATCAGGAGGAACAAGTACTGGAAGACTCGCTGCCCCCTGACATATGCTGTGGATTTCCTGATATATACTTTTTGCCGACAAAGGTTAGTCCTAACCCTCTGAACTCTCACTCAGGAACACCTACCACTCCTCTCTGTTACCTGCAATGTCACAAGGAAAATTTCATAATGTACTTTAGACAAAATAGCCCAATATTGTTAAAATCTAAAACAGATTTAAGACTGACATTCAATGCTATTTCTCAGGAATACGGTAAAGTTATCTAGTGTGAAGTACTCCAAAATTAACTTCTCCAGGCATAATTTCAACATGCAGTTGCATTAATGTTAAATACATTTAATTAAGCCTGGTGTGGTGGCACACGCCTTTAATCCCAGCACTCAGGAGGCAGAGGCAGGCGGACCTCTGTGAGTTCAGGGCCAGCCTGGTTTACATAGTGAGTTCCAGGTCAGCCAGAACAGGGAGACCCAGACCCTGTCTCAAAAAGAAAAAAAA